GCAGGGGAGGGGGGGAGGAGGAGGGCGCCCCTGTCCAGCAGGGGAGGGGGGAGGAGGGCGCCCCTGCCCGGCACGGGGCGGGACGCGGGGACGGGGACGGGGCGGGGATGCGCTCCCGGCAGACAGGCAGACAGACACAGGCCATGCCTAGGACAGGAGCAGCCAGGCCTGGAGTCTCCAGGGGCAGAACTGTCCTCCCCCTCCCCCCCACCGCCCCTCAACTCCGGCCCCCAACTTCCGGGCCAGCAGCTCCCGGCCTTTGACTTCTCCCCATGTGACCATGGATAAGACTGTCCCCTCCCCAGCACCTTGTCGGGGCCTCCCTGTGCCCAGGCTGGCCTTGAACTCACAACCCTCCTGCCTCTGGCACCCAAGTGCCAAACGCTGTTCTCCAAGGCTCTGGTCACTTACTTGGGTAAGTGGTGCTGAGGAAGAGGACCTGGGACCAGGACCTGAGTCTCATGGTCACCAGGCAGGCCGCGCCAGCGTGCCAGCGCCCAGCCCCGTGAGAAACGACTCAATAAATGAGTAGCTTTTCTGGACTCCAGGGTCTGGGGCCTGGGCTGTAGGGTCACAAGTGTGTGGGCTGGGGGGGTGGAGCGGGGAACATGGGCAAGGACCAGGCTCACCCTGCACAAGCTTCCACTGAGCCCTGGGCTTGATGCACTCTGCTCCTGGGGAGGGGGCCGCCAGTCCCAAACAGGACGAGGGATCCCACTGCTCACCGTGTGAAATGGGGAGGCCCAGTCAACGGAGGCAGGGGGTGCTGGCGGGTGGTGCCTAGTGACTGGCCATAGAGTGGGGCAGCCACTGCACTGGGTCTGGGGGCAGATGCCCGGGAAAGGCCATCACGGCCAGGCAGGAGCTCCGCGCAGCCGGTGCTGCCCACTGCTTCAGGCTGCAGCCACCACTTAGGTGTGTGCACACATGTGCAAGTGTGTATGCATGCATATGCCCATCCTGGGGCCTGAACTCAAGGACTGGGTGCTGCTCTGAACCAATTCCAGCTTCTTGGATAGTTTAGTGGATGTGTCATCTACTCAGGAGGCTGAAATCTGAGGATCACAGTTCAAGGCCAATCTAGGCAGGAAAGTCTGTGAGACTCTGATCTCTAAACTACTAGAAAAAGCTGCAAGTGGTGCTTTGACCCAAGTGGTAGAGCACAAGCCTTGAACACAAAGAAACTCAGGGACAGCACCCAGGTCCCAAGTTCCAGCCCCACCCAGGATCGGCAAAAAACTTTTTTCAATTTTTTTGTCAGTTGTGGGCTTGAACTCTGGGCCTGGGCGCTGTCCCTCAACTTTTCAGCTCAAGGTGAGCGCTCTACTGCTTGAGCCACAGCACCACTTCAGTTTTCTAGTGGTTTATCGGAGATGTCTCACAGCCTTTCCTGCCCAGGCTGGCTTTGAACCGTGATCCTCAGATCTCAGCCTCCTGAGCTCATAATTAGGATTACAGGCGTGAGCCACCGGCGCTCAGCGGCAAAACCTTTCGTGTTCTGCAATCTCAGAGCTGAGCCCCTGGCACCCAGGCTTGCACGGATGGCGGCTGAGGCTGGCAGTCCCCAGGCTCTGGCTCTGGCGTCGCTCCCCTGGGGAGATGGGGACAGGGCTGCAGGTACCAGCTGAGAAGAACCATGACCTGCCATTCCTGGAGGTGATGTTGAGCCGAGTCTTCACGAATGCAGCAGGTGCCCACTACCTGCTGCAGCGCTCACGGGCACCAGCAGCACAGAGGTGTCTCCGCCCACCCAGTCCCAGTCCTGTGTGCCCGGCTCTGATGCCCAGACACCCAGCCCCATGCAGGCGGACACGCAGACACACGCGAGCAGTGCTGCGTCCAGGCGGTTTATTGTAGCTGATCTTTAGAGAAACCCCCGGAAGCGACGGTGCCCACGGCGCTCCACCGTAACATTTGGCAAAGTGAAGGCTCTGGATCCCGGCGTCATGGCTCAAAGGGGGTTCTCCACAGTCTAAATAAGTTAGAGCAGAACCGGCTGGCGTCACCGGTAGACGGACAGACATGACAGGAGACAGACAATGGAGAACCCGGTGGGGTTGCCCTGGCTCTCGGCCAACAAGCTGGGCCCGCAGAGGGGGGCCTGCACAACTTCCCAGCTGCGTGGCCAGATGGAGAGGAAGCCTCCCCCACTCTCTGGAAGGCACAGGGCCACCCGTGGGTTACAGAAACAGCGCCGCTCGCATCTGCCCGGCCTCCCCCGGCTGCGGCCCGGCCTGTGTGACCCTCCGCATTCCTGTCCCGGCTGGGCCCTGAGCAGGACACGCTCCCAACCGCGCTCAGGGAGGGCCCATACACACACGCGCACACATGCACACGTACACTCACGCACATGGGGAATAGGCACAGCAACAAAGCAGCAACCGGGTGTTACAGAGCCCGCACCCCAGAGAGGGCAGGCGAGACCCCACCCCGGGGCCCTCAACCCCTCCCTGAGAGCAAGGCCTGTGTGACTCCACGGGATGGCGCCGCCCACGTGTGGACAGAGGGGCAGAGCTGGGGCAGCAGAAGGGAGACCGTGGCCCGGCCAGTGTGAAGCGGGCAGGAGCTGGGAGTGAGGCCCACAGGCTCCTGTGTCACCTGCGGCCAAGGCCCCGCACGGCAGGTCCGGCTGTGGGCCCGCTGGGCCCCGGGTCAGGACCAAGGCCGTAACACTGCAGAAGGGCCGGCGGCACCGGACCTGGGCATCCAAGGAGGGAGGCACAGGTTTAGAAAAGATTTTGCGTTCTCTTTTGTACAAAAATAGACTGGAGTCTCTTTCGCAGCAGCTCAAAGTGGCTGACTTGGTAGAAAACTAGAAAAGGCAGCGGCCAGTCTGGGCGGGAGCAGGCCGGGCTAGGGCCAGGGCTGCAGCTGGCGCCGGTCGTACTGGGCGATGAGCTGCTTGATGTGCGCCAGCTTGCTGTGCAGGTACTCGCAGCGCCGCTTCTCCTGGCTGTAGTTGGTGTTGGTCTGCGGACAGCAGCCGGCGTCACCCACGGCCCTTCCGCCTCAGGCTCCGGCCGTGCTGGGGACCGCAGGCCCGAGCCAACTTGGAGAAGGGAGTCCGGAACCCTCGCGGTGGCCAGCGCGCTGGGGCCAGAGCGGCCTCCCCACTCCCGGCACCCCAACACTCACCTTCTTGATTTTCCGATATTCCTGTAAAATCTGTCCCCGAGTGGTCTGTGGGAACAGGAGGAGAAGCAAGCTGACGCTACCCCCTCCCTCCCCCCCGGGGAGGAGCACCCAGGGCAGGGGACATGGGTGTGACCCGGAGGAGGCCAGCCTGGAGAGCTGGGCATGTCTACCATGCCAGGGACTCTGGGGCCTGTGGGGTTAGTGGGTAAAGGCCCCGACTCCAGGGCTCAGCGCCAGCTCCGTCCTGGCAGCCCTACCCTGGGGTATTTGGGCATTTTCCCATCCAAGGGCACCAAATCCGCAGGCCCCCCTGGTGCTTTCCATCCTGTTTTAGGAAGGGCCACCAAACAGCGCAGCCCCGCCCCACCCCACCCCGGGGTGCTGGTGGAGCTGAGCTGTCTGCAGATGCACTGGGCCTGCAGGTGACCAGAGCCTGGCCCGCCCCCTGCCCACCTCGTACTCCTCAGAGCCCTGGGCCAGCTGGCGCAGCTGGGCATCGAGCTGCGTGAAGCGGCGTGTGATCTGCTCGATGCGGGCGTGCAGATCGCGGTACTCGCTGTACTCTGCGTTGAAGTCGTTCTTGTAGCTCTGGCGCTGCTCCGAGGAGGAGATGGCGGCGTATTTCCTGTGCACAGAGAAGCCCCAGACTCGATGCTGGCCGTCCCGCACCAGCCTGGCCGTCCTCCACCGGCGCCCATACTCACAGCAAGTAGTCGGGTGTGTCCGTGGTGGACACGGGGACATCGGCACTGCTGACATCTCCGTTCCCACCTGCAGGAAGCACTGACTCAGCCCTGCCTCCCCAGGCCACATCGGGCGTGGGCACACAACCCACCCCGGG